AGAGCCTACCTGCACAGCATTTGGAGGTTTGCTTGCCCAAACATCAAGGCTGGGTGCCATGGAGCTCCCTAGGGAATGTGAGGAGAGGCTTTCCAGGGCTGAGCAGCTGATGTAACTTCTGGAAGGCTTCACAGAGGGTGAATTGGCTTTGCTGTTTTGCCCTAGGAGACAGCCATGCTCCTCTGCTCAGCCTCATACTTTGGGCATGCTGGAAGAAGAGAGGCTCAAGGATCTACTGGCAGCCAGGCAAGGACTGAGGTAAGTGTAGTGCTGCAGAGCATCACAGCAAGTAAGGACCTCCAGTCTCTCCCTTGCCCTGTTTTGGGAAGTGGCTGGGCTGTGACAGCAGCCTGCAAGAAAAGAGTCAGTGGCACCTCAGGTAACAATGCCCCACTGCCCTGCAAGGGGACAGGGCTGGTGGACACCCCAGCTCAGCCTGCTTTGACCAGCTGAAATAGAGGTCAAAGTGACCAGACAGTTCCAGGGGGGTTTGAGCTTTTCTCCAGCCTGGCCAGAATAAACACAGACCCTTCCCTGGAGTCAAGTCCCTGTGGAGCAGCCCTTGCCCTCCACCCATCTTCTTCAGCCTTTTGCAGACCCTGCTTCTCTGCTGGGTTTGTTTTTTTACCCCCAGTCTAGAAGCAGGGCCAGGAAGTGCTGGGGGAATCGGGACCAGCAGCTCCTGCAGAGACTTTCCTCTCTGACTGCAAGTGCTGTGTTCCCCCAGCTTGGTGATGGGGGCTTAAGTTTCCAAAGGAGAGGGACAGAGAGGCAGCTGGACACATTTGCTGAGTAACCTTGGAGAAGAAGCAATATTAAATGGCACCTAGCTGGGAAAAAGAGGATTGTCTCATTGGACATGGACTTTCTGAAAGCTGTGGGAGCTGCCCTGGGAAGAGGCAGCCCTGGCCACCCACCTGGTCCCAGCTCCTACAAAGGATACCCAGCCCCTTACACTGTAAGCAACAGGCTCAATCCTGGAACATTTCTGTCCTCCCAAAAGCACATCCAGAAGCTTCTTCCCAGCACAGGCAAAGCAGGCACTCAGGAGGGCAGGGCTGAACAGAAAGCAAGATCCTTTATTGTACACAGTACAGAATGTAATGCAGCTTTGCAGGAGATACACAGCCCTGCTCCAGTAAAGATTTCAAATCAGTTCTCAGATTAACCCCTTCTGCACTGTAGACCCCTGAAAAAAACCTTGTCCCTAAGGTTGGGGGAGGTTTCTGCAACCAAACACCCCTCCCCTGGCCCAGGGCAGGCCCTTGCAAGGACAGCAACCCAGTCTACCCAGAGTTAATCTTCATACTTCCCCCAAAAAAATAAATGAATCAGTCAAAAAAAAAAAGTAAATCCAACCAAAGCTAACTAAGGAAGAGAGAAAAAAATCCTATACAGCATTTACAACAAAAACATGTAGCTGGTGGGGGTGGATAGGCAGGTGTGAAATATATGAGTGGTGAAGGAGTGTCAGGAGGTGCAGCAGGGAGGGGGGAGCTGGAGGGAAGGGGGGCAAGGGGACCCCCCTGTTTCTACCCACAGTGGCTTTACAGCCCAGCTCTGAGGCCATGCTGAGCAGGGGGGAGGGAAAGCAGCTGAGCCAGCCCTGTAGTTCTGCCCTGGCTCCCCCAGGGAAGAGGATCTGAATGGTGAAATGGAGTGGACCAGATACTTCAGCAGGTGTCCTGGCAAGCCACAGGCACCAGGGGCTCCCCCTGCAAGCAGGTCCCTGTGAAAGCCAAGGGAGGGGTGTGTGTGGGGGGGAGGTCCCCAGCAACAGCAGCCGGGCTGCAAAAAATAGCTTTGCCTTAAAATACAAAAAAATCTACAAAAATTAGTTTAGAAAGCTTTTTTTTTTTTTCCTTTTTCTTCCCTAAAACATCGAAAAAAAAAAAAAAGGAGGAAAGGGAGATAGTGTTAGGGTCCCCTCCCCCCCCAGAATGCAACCCAAGGTCCACAGCCAGAGCTGGGGAGGAGGAGTGAGGGGCACAGAGAGGACCTGGGGGAAGGGAGGCTGGGAAACTGTTATATCAGGTTCTATCACAAGGCTGGGGCAAGGAAGGGGTAAGTTTGGGAAGAAGGCAGAAGGCTCCTGGAGGGTTGGGGGTAGGATGCAGCACACGTCAGCCCCAGGGGGGGGTGCTGGCCCAGGCAGCCCCCCCCTCCTTGCCTCCCCACATCCCTCCTCTGTGCAAATCAAAGCCCTTTCCACCAGACAAGGCAGCTACGCGGGTCGTGCTGGATGCAAAGCAGATTGTCGTGACAATTTGCCAGGTGGCCACCCCAGCTCAGCCCAGTCCTGGAGGTGTCAGTACCATCCCCTCCCCTCCACCCCCAGGCTTGCTGGCGAGGAACAGGGGGTCTGGGGAGGGGGGAGGGCAGAGACTGTGTCTTTGAGCTGTTGGCCCAAAAAAGACCTCAAAACCCACCAATGCTTGGCAGGAGGCAGCAGCCACGGGCAGTCCTGTGCACTAGCCCTTGGACAGTAAGGGTGGGAATTCCGTGGTCACACACACACAGGGCATTTTAGAATTCCTCCAATTTGTGTGTGTGTGTTTGGGCTTTTTTTGTTGTTGTTTGTGGGGTTTTTGTGTCTCCTCACCCAAAAAGATAAGCTTTACAAAACCGTCTGTGCCCCAAGCAGCTGCGCGAGTGCTGGTGGTGCCGGGCGGGGCTGTGACAGCAGCCTGCAAGAAAAGAGTCAGTGGCACCTCAGGTAACAATGCCCCACTGCCCTGCAAGGGGACAGGGCTGGTGGACACCCCAGCTCAGCCTGCTTTGACCAGCTGAAATAGAGGTCAAAGTGACCAGACAGTTCCAGGGGGGTTTGAGCTTTTCTCCAGCCTGGCCAGAATAAACACAGACCCTTCCCTGGAGTCAAGTCCCTGTGGAGCAGCCCTTGCCCTCCACCCATCTTCTTCAGCCTTTTGCAGACTCTGCTTCTCTGCTGGGTTTGTTTTTTTACCCCCAGTCTAGAAGCAGGGCCAGGAAGTGCTGGGGGAATCGGGACCAGCAGCTCCTGCAGAGACTTTCCTCTCTGACTGCAAGTGCTGTGTTCCCCCAGCTTGGTGATGGGGGCTTAAGTTTCCAAAGGAGAGGGACAGAGAGGCAGCTGGACACATTTGCTGAGTAACCTTGGAGAAGAAGCAATATTAAATGGCACCTAGCTGGGAAAAAGAGGATTGTCTCATTGGACATGGACTTTCTGAAAGCTGTGGGAGCTGCCCTGGGAAGAGGCAGCCCTGGCCACCCACCTGGTCCCAGCTCCTACAAAGGATACCCAGCCCCTTACACTGTAAGCAACAGGCTCAATCCTGGAACATTTCTGTCCTCCCAAAAGCACATCCAGAAGCTTCTTCCCAGCACAGGCAAAGCAGGCACTCAGGAGGGCAGGGCTGAACAGAAAGCAAGATCCTTTATTGTACACAGTACAGAATGTAATGCAGCTTTGCAGGAGATACACAGCCCTGCTCCAGTAAAGATTTCAAATCAGTTCTCAGATTAACCCCTTCTGCACTGTAGACCCCTGAAAAAAACCTTGTCCCTAAGGCTGGGGGAGGTTTCTGCAACCAAACACCCCTCCCCTGGCCCAGGGCAGGCCCTTGCAAGGACAGCAACCCAGTCTACCCAGAGTTAATCTTCATACTTCCCCCAAAAAAATAAATGAATCAGTCAAAAAAAAAAAGTAAATCCAACCAAAGCTAACTAAGGAAGAGAGAAAAAAATCCTATACAGCATTTACAACAAAAACATGTAGCTGGTGGGGGTGGATAGGCAGGTGTGAAATATATGAGTGGGTAAGGAGTGTCAGGGGGTGGAGGGGGGAGCTGGAGGGAAGGGGGGCAAGGGGACCCCCCTGTTTCTACCCACAGTGGCTTTACAGCCCAGCTCTGAGGCCATGCTGAGCAGGGGGGAGGGAAAGCAGCTGAGCCAGCCCTGTAGTTCTGCCCTGGCTCCCCCAGGGAAGAGGATCTGAATGGTGAAATGGAGTGGACCAGATACTTCAGCAGGTGTCCTGGCAAGCCACAGGCACCAGGGGCTCCCCCTGCAAGCAGGTCCCTGTGAAAGCCAAGGGAGGGGTGTGTGTGGGGGGGAGGTCCCCAGCAACAGCAGCCGGGCTGCAAAAAATAGCTTTGCCTTAAAATACAAAAAAATCTACAAAAATTAGTTTAGAAAAGCTTTTTTTTTTTTCCTTTTTCTTCCCTAAAACATCGAAAAAAAAAAAAAAAGGAGGAAAGGGAGATAGTGTTAGGGTCCCCTCCCCCCCCAGAATGCAACCCAAGGTCCACAGCCAGAGCTGGGGAGGAGGAGTGAGGGGCACAGAGAGGACCTGGGGGAAGGGAGGCTGGGAAACTGTTATATCAGGTTCTATCACAAGGCTGGGGCAAGGAAGGGGTAAGTTTGGGAAGAAGGCAGAAGGCTCCTGGAGGGTTGGGGGTAGGATGCAGCACACGTCAGCCCCAGGGGGGGGTGCTGGCCCAGGCAGCCCCCCCCTCCTTGCCTCCCCACATCCCTCCTCTGTGCAAATCAAAGCCCTTTCCACCAGACAAGGCAGCTACGCGGGTCGTGCTGGATGCAAAGCAGATTGTCGTGACAATTTGCCAGGTGGCCACCCCAGCTCAGCCCAGTCCTGGAGGTGTCAGTACCATCCCCTCCCCTCCACTCCCAGGCTTGCTGGCGAGGAACAGGGGGTCTGGGGAGGGGGGAGGGCAGAGACTGTGTCTTTGAGCTGTTGGCCCAAAAAAGACCTCAAAACCCACCAATGCTTGGCAGGAGGCAGCAGCCACGGGCAGTCCTGTGCACTAGCCCTTGGACAGTAAGGGTGGGAATTCCGTGGTCACACACACACAGGGCATTTTAGAATTCCTCCAATTTGTGTGTGTGTGTTTGGGCTTTTTTTGTTGTTGTTTGTGGGGTTTTTGTGTCTCCTCACCCAAAAAGATAAGCTTTACAAAACCGTCTGTGCCCCAAGCAGCTGCGCGAGTGCTGGTGGTGCCGGGTCAGTAGGCGAAGCCCTCAGCGTAGGGAAGGCTGCCACAGGGATCCATCTCCAGGAGGTAGGCAGGGCTGTCCTCGAAGTGTGTCAGGGGCACTGTCTCCTCCTCTGGCACCGGGCAGTCGGGCTCTGTCTTCAGGAAGGGCCGCTGGTTGTCAGGGTAGGCCATGGAGAAGAGGGCATCGGGATCGCAGACGAACTTGTAGACGTACCGCTCGCCAGCCACCTGAGCAGGAGCAGCAGTGAGAGGGGGCCCTGCAGCAGCACCCCACGGGGAGAGTAGGAGGGAATTCTTTACTCTTAGAGGGTGGTGAGAGCCTGGCCCAGGTTGCCCAGGGAAGCTGTGGCTGCCCCATCCCTGGCAGTGTTGAAGGGCAGGTTGGATGGGGCTTGGAGCAACCTGGGCTGGTGGGAGGTGTCCCTGCCCATGCAGGGAGTTCAATCTGGATGATCTTGAAGGTCCTTTAGTCTGTGATTCTATGATTTTATGACCAACAGGATGTTGGGGTGACAGTCCCACCCCCCTCTCCCCAGGGCAGTGGGGTCACTCACCTTCTGCATGATGCCCTTCTCATAGTAGTAGCGGAGGGAGCGGCTGAGCTTGTCATAGTTCATGGCCGGCCGGTTCTTCTGGATGCCCCAGCGCCGCGCTACCTGGGGGAAGAAAGCTGAAGGTTCCAGCCAGAGCTTGGACACCATCACAGCCAAAATGTGGGGTGGTCGGGGCTCATTTCTGGGGGCTGGGCCGGCAGGGGTGAAAGCAGCCCTGCTGTCCCCCAGAGCAGCTCCCTGCCTGCTGCACCAAGTGCTCCAGCTCCCAGCACCGGCTGCCACAACATCACCGCTGCCAAAGCAGGGGCTGAATCAAAAGACATCTGATTAAGGGAGCCTGCCAAAAAAGCTGCTTCAAAAAAACCACTATTTCCATGCACAGTGTATGAGTTATTATGGGTAATTACCCACAATTCACAGTTTGGTGCTGCAGCTGCTTTCAATTACTCCCCAAACACTTTCTTCCTCTATGTCCCCCTCCTGCAGAGCTGCACAGGTCTGGCTCAGCACCCTGAGCTGCTGCTGGGAACCCAGGAAAGAATCAGAGCAGCTTGAGAGGGAGGGAACCATGGACTGGAGCAGTTGGGAGGGAAGGAGCCATGGATTGGAGCAGCTGGGAGGGAAGGAGCCATGGATTACAGCAGTTTGGCAGGGAAGGAGCCACAGAGCAGTGGCAGGTCTCAGCAGGGCACAGAGGTAATGCCACCACAGCAGGTGACGGCCGGTGGCTCCGGGAGCAGAGCATGTGCCCTGGAGACAGCAGAGGAGATGAAAGGCAAATTTCTAGGACTGCTTAGCACAGACACAGGGCTGGCTTTTCCCCCTCACCCTCAAAAGCTGCTTGGAGTGTAGACACAAGTCTCACTTGTGCACAAACTGCTCCACAGCACAGGCAGGATCCAAGCCTCCAGCCTCCCCTGGGCTCACCCCGTGGCCTCTCCCAGGCTGCAGCCCCTGACTCCAGCACACCAGGCACTGGGCCAGTTCCCCACCCCGTACCTCCTCGGGCTCAATCAGTTTGAACTCCATGCCCCGGCCAGTCCAGGCGATGAAGTGGGCATTGGCAGGGTCGTCCAGGAGGGTGACCAGGAACTGCCAGAGCTGCAGGGACCCACGGCGCTGGTAGGGAGGGCCCTCGCGGTACAGGGTGGGCTCCTGCTTCACTTTACCTGCCCAAGAGATGGCTGCTTCAGCACCCCCACCCCGGGTAGCACTATCCAGCAGGGGATATGCACAGTGACATCAGGATGGCCCCTGTGCCAGGACCCCCTGTGAAAATCAGGCCACCAGGGCAGAGATGAGACAGGTGCTGGGGGAGACGTGGGGCAGGTGACAAGCATGGGGACAGGACAGAGTGGCGATGCCAAGCAGCCACCGGGGACTGCAGTAGCACAGTTTGGCTGTAAAATCCCAGCCACCATGGGGCTTGGCCCTCAATTTCCCTCCATGAGCCCTGGTCACCCCTCAGCCCTCCTTTGAGGCCAGACCCTTACCCTCCAGCCGCTCTGGTACCACGCAGGTGTCATCAAAATACAATCGTGTGTCCTTTTCATATGAAAATCCTATGGGATAAAGACCCCCCAGTGAGCACAGGGCCCATCCACCACCCTGGCTGGATCCCCCAGGGAAAAAACCAACCCCACAGGGCTGGTGCTGCTCATAGGTAGGCTCCTGCAGGCACTTTTTCAAGGTGCCCAGCAGCTCTGCAAGATGTGAGGGGTGTCTGCCTGCCCCAGGGGAGGGCCAGGACATACTGGGGCTGCCCAGGACATACTGGGGCTGCCCGTGGGAGGAAAGGGGTGGCTCACTCACCATCATGGCTGCTGGGGAAGACGTTCCCCCGCAGGTATGACGGGCAGTTAGGCACTTCTGTGAGGGAGACAAAGGCAGAGTTAAGGACACGTGCTGTGGGTTACACCAAGCACTCAGCAGCATCTTTCCCCGCCCTGGACGTCTCCTCCCACCAGCACACCCTGGACTGCTGCACCCCCACCCAACTTTGGGGGTAAAAGAGTAGGATTTGGAGGGGGGAGGATGTCACTGGAATGAGTGGTGGGAGGAAGGTCTAGGGCAGCTTGGGTTTTCACTCCATGATTCAGGCATCATGGGAAGGGAGGCGCTGCCATCTGCTCAGCCCTGCCACCCTCCACCCCGAGGTCGGGGTATTTTTAGGTCCTAAGGCGATTAGAGGATTTTTTCCGTGATGCTGGTGGGGTCGAGCAGCCAGAAATCACAGCTGGCCCCGGGCCAGGGTGGGGGGGGGACCTGCTGGGTGCTGTGAAGCACCTCAGCCCATGGCTATGGCACTGACCGCGCTGCACAGCATCGGTTGAATGCCTCTCTACCCCCACTACTTTGGAAAAGAGGGAGGAAAAAAAGCTGGGCTGGGGAAAATACAGAAAAGGAAGAAATCATCTGCCACTGCAGGAGAAGCAGCCAGTGCCAGGCAGCCCCAGGCACCCACAGCCTGAGGCTCAACCCTGATCCAGCCGTGCTGAGAGAGCAACCAGGCTGGTGAAAGGACTAGAGGGAAAGTCCCATAGGGAGAGGCTGATCGAGCTGGGGTTGTTTAGCCTGGAGAAGCCTCAGGGGGACCTTCTCACTCTCTTCAACCACCTGAAAGGAGGCTGGAATCAGGTAGGGCTGGAGTCTTTTTCCAGGCAATGAGCAACAAGACAAGAGGGCCTGGCCTCAAGCTGCTCCAGAGGAGGTTTGGGTTGGGTATCACGAAGCACTTCCTCATGGAGAGGGTGATCAGACATTGGAATGGACTGCCCAGGGAAGTGGTGGAGGCACCATCCCTGGAAGGCGTTCAAGGAAAGGCTGGATGTGGCACTTGGTGACATGGTCTGGCTGATGTGGTGGTGTTGGTCATAGGCAGGACGGGATCTTAGAGGTCTTTTCCAGCCTTGGTGATTCTGTGCAGCTGCCCATGAGCCACGGAGGGCAGAGATGGCCCCGCTCCCCTGGGCACTGCAGATGAAAATCCATAGACCCCCCCCGGCACCCAGATGCCCCAACTTGCACCCACCCGAGTCGATGCAGTAGTCCCGGGGCTCCTGCTTGATGCCCATGGGGGGCTGGAAGCCATGGCCGGGTGGGCCAGGCAGGCCAGGGTCTCCGTGCTCGTAGAGAGGGTCGTGGTACTCCTGCTTGAATCCCTGAGGGGGCCGGGAGGCTGTGGGGCCCAGGGGCTCCGACAGCTGCCGGTGGTAGACGGGGCGACCGTCCCCTGGCACCCCGGGCTGCGGCGGGAAGGGGGGGCAGGGCGCTGACACG